GTGGCCCTTCTTCAAAAGGAATGAATTGAAAAGGGATGTCTCGATAGTTTGGCAGAACCTCGAAAACGCTCAGGATCAAACKTCTCTGGATCGGGCCACGCCGATGGATCATGGTGCAGAACGGAATAATTACGGCAATTACCTGCAGAGGAGTGGGCCTAGAAGGGAGGGTTTAGGGGTTACAACCCCTCTACAGGGGCGGGTCCAGGGGGTGTTTTGGGTGGCTAGCTACCCCTTCTTTATTTGAAAAAAATATATAAAGGCTTTAATTAAGTTTTGAAAAAAGGATAAATAACAGAATTATTGAATAACGGAAATATGTATAATTACTTCGAAAAAAATATAGAGTGAGAAGAACTCTTTGATGTAACTGACGTTTATATATTCATAAATTTCTTTCATATAAACGTTTTGTTGATAAGTCCGAAATATTATAGGTGTGCCCCAGATAACGATAAACGATAATTTCACATGAACCTAAAGAGTCAAATTAATTGTAACGTACTTTAATATTAAATTTTAAATGTAAGCCACCCCCCTCTGAAAAATCCTGGATCCGCCCCTGCCCTATGAAAGTGATTAACAGAAGGTTGATTGACAGTGGTACTTATGGTAGCATTTCCCCCTTAATTACGTCTTTAAGAGGGTCTCAATGGGGTTAACTGTGAGCCGTGAAACGGCTAAAAAATTAGCCGTGAATCGTAAAAATGAGAAAAATTAGCCGTGAAACGGCTGAAAAATTAGCCGTGAATCGTAAAAATGAGAAAAATTAGCCGTGAAACGGCTGAAAAATTAGCCGTGAGTCGTGGAAATGTTTTATGCCAAATTTTTAGCCGTGAGTCGTGATGCGGACCCCCCCATTGAGACCCCCCTTTAACATAGAGAAAAAGGAAACAAAAAGGTTTTAATTAATCACCACGATTAACGAAGCTATCATTTTCTTAAGRTTTAAACTAACTTCCGGTCTGGAATCCTATTGGTACTTGCCCGCCAACTGAAGTAATTTGGGATGGAAACTAGTCTCGCTATCTCAAATATCTATATATATCTCCACCAGTCATTTGCTGCTTTGACTGTTGATGTCTTGTTAATATTGTAATTTCTCAACTATGGTCTATGATTCTCGGGCCGAGCGATCATCATATCATACTGGACTATTCAATAGTATAGACAACTCGAGTATGTTAAGGCCTGGTTCACAGAGGCTAGGCTGAAAACAGTGTTTTTGTGTATAACTCGATATGATTCTCATCTACTGTATTCATGTTTTGACACAATTTTTCATTTAACGTTTGTGACAATTTAGAGTGTTCAATATTGACATCAAGTGTTCACGTGACCTTAAGGCTAGAAATTTAATATTTTTAAAATGCGGTCGTGAGTTTAATACAAAATGAAATCATTTCGGTGCTAAATAGTTAAGGGTTGCCATTAAAAAAAGATGTCGCTTTCAAAGTTTGTCTCAAGATTTTAAATATTTCGAAAATCAAGAAAACGTAATTTCGAGGAATGGTCACGTGACCCATTTTCCTAAATATCTCCTTAACGAAAAKAGTTAAACAAGATTTAACAACGATGTTGTCTTAATATCTAAAAAAGAAAATAGATTCATTTGTTTGTTTTAGTATCTACTCTATACTGGCGACCGCATTTTAAATTAAACTTCAAAACTTGTCCATCACGTGKTTGATCACGTGATCAGTTTAAGGACAGGATTTCGTCTTAAGGAAGTTCAAAATGCTGAATTCTAATTATGTCTTGAMTTTGGTGTCGTTAAGCTTATGTGTCGAGAGTTGAGAAGCTTACGAGTTGTTTTGAATGCAAACCCACTAGCGAATTAATTGTTTTGACATAGCAACAACGTCTAAGTTTACGGGCGTCCATTAACTCTTATTAAAAAAAACACAGACTCAAATTTTATTAATGTTTAGTGTTAAAAGAGACTGAAAATTCATTTCTATATGTTCTAAGTTTTATTACTATTCAAGGCTTTATGAAAAGCACCCATTCAATGAAAAAGAAGCTCTTTTGGTTTGTCGCCATCTCGGCCACAAACCGCGCGAAAGTTTCGGAGCGACAAKCTTGGGCTACCTGTATCTCGTCACCAGACTCTAGTAGCTGGCCGGGTATCCAAGATGGCGGCCGCCAGTGAATTCCCTTCTGAACTTTCTACACGTCCTCTTGGGCTGATTGGGCTCACAGGACTTGAYATTGCTCAAAAACCCTTACATAGAGCAATATGGGAATCTTTCTCGGTAAAYAGAAGACCTGACCGTGTGCCTCTTTCCTTTAAACTTCTCCCCATTGATAACGAATATCCGAAGGCAAAACCCAAGGTAAGCTTATGTTTTCAGTATTCCTCTGGTTTAAATAATAAACTTAAAGATCATTTAGTACACATTTGAGATGCTATTATGGTAATATAAGTTTTTAATGATATCATTTTTCCTATAACAACAGCGAACTTCATATGAATGGTACATCCCTAAGGGAATTCTCAAAGCAAAATGGATGAATAAACACTTAGATCAAGTACCAGCCCTGGTCGTGGTGTTTTATGAACTCGACTGGGATAATGCTCAATGGAAAGAGAAGCAATCAGAATGTGCAGCTCAAGTACGGCAAGTCAGGTATTGTTTTAAAGTCAATCATCACTCATTGATGAATTGTATTTGCTATTCTGTACTGTGGATGTTAACATACATGCGTGTACATAAAAATTAACTCAATTGAAAATGGAAAGCATTCTTTTCCCCTCTCCCTTTCCAATATTGTTGAATCATTTCCCATGTCAGGGAGTATAGAGAGTCAGGGGGTGTGCATTTACACTAGTTTTCAAAAAAGACATATGTAATTCCAGAGGCAGAGAAAGATGGAGTATGGAAATATTTTGAAAAGTATAATTTTACTCATGCATTGATAGGACAAGTCTCCAGGGGCGTAACACCAAAGTTGCAGTTGTATTGATTCAAAAGAATGCTCCCTTGCCACCAGGTATGACATTCAGAGACGTTAGTTTGTATTTCTACATCTCGCTGTTCATTCATCCAATATGCATTCATCCATCAGTCAATCATTCTTTTCCTGTCTATATCTATCTACATCTATGGATACTGGAATCTACCTGTATTATGTTATGTTATGATCCCAACCATTCATCCTTCTAATTCTTATTATTTCTTTATTTTCATGTCTTCATTTCCAGGCGAGGATATGCAGGCAGCAGAAAGGGCRGCAGCACTGTGCTCTGCTTGTGATCTTTCTGCCAAATCTTTATTTGTGTTACAAAAAACTGATCATCTGTTTGGCTACACTATTAGGTAAATATAGCAAAATCTAGGAAAACAGGTACACAGATAAAGGACCAAAGCCCAAAGCATCAAAGACTGCCSATTAGCTTTCTATTAATGTGTAAAATTAATCAATTAATTCTTATCACATCTATCGATTCGTACTTCAGATTAGTACAAAAAAAGTTGATTAATATTAAAATTCATTTATTCTTATTTTTTTGCAAACAATTTCTGATATAAATAATCTGGTCTTGAATAGATTAGAAAATGCATTCTATGAGCTTGCTCAGAGCTATTACCATGGAGAAGCCAGAAGAGTGAAGTCACACAAGGTATTTTATAAGCTAATCAATATTATTATCTATGATTATAACAGATTATTATAGCAATGCATAGCATCCTTTGCAGACTTAAGCATGGAGAATTCAGCCAATGTTAGCTCATTACATCCAGAGCGTTTCATGAAGAACTATAATTATATCAATTGATACGCTGATTATTATTTATTTAATATTTTTTATGATTTAACGCTGGTAGTACTTAATACTTGATAAGTGTTTTACGAGTACTTAATAAGTCTTTTATTTTAATTATTGTTACTGCTATTTTCATTTGTAAAATTGATAAGGCTGTTTTCCATTTTTTCAGTGCATTTGCTTGCCATGTCAAAACTTCATTGAATAAAAGGGACACTGTCAATGGCACGCATGCGCAAGTAAACTTGAAAAGATTACGCTAATGTTTTCAAGTTTACGACTCCAAGTTGGTGCAACGCATGACAAAAAAAAGTACTCGTAAACGTAAACAGATAGATCTAGAATATTCCAAACTTTGTCAAAACATTGATTTACCTCGAAGGTAATACTTTCAAAGTCTGTTAGAGGCAAGACTGTTACTGTGCATGTCATCCATTGACAGTGCCCCTTTAAGTAGTTTTGAGAATCCTCCCTCAAAACCAAATGAGCTTTGAACACAATATTTTTCTTCATTTTACAGGAATTTCTTAATAAGTCAATACACCAGGTGAGTGAACCCTGTACTACATATACATTATAAGGTTAGTACACTTTTATTTATCACTCATCTGTTTGTTTCAGCTTCTTTTAGCACGTCACCAAATAAAAGTTGCATTTTTCAATGAGCTTAGACAAGATCCCCACGCAGCAGTCAAGTGAGTTTTAAGTTTGTTGAAAGCAGCTTTTCAGTCATGTGAATAAAATTTTTAATGCAATCTCTTATTTAGAGCTCATTATTTTTTTTATAATTTGGTATCCGGTTATCTCGCCCAGTGATTTCGCCCCGTGATTTCGCACCCCCTTATTCAATGATATATATGCATCCATAATGTTATGTTGACATGCTTAAACACAGTTAACAATTAAACTATCGTCAAATTTTAGTTTTTCAGGCTTTTTTATTACGAATGAGTACTGAGTGAATTCGAGTATACTTGACAATAAAAAGTCAAACAAAGATATTATTTTCCATAACCTTTACTTAAAACAAAGAAATATAAAGTCAAATAGTTATAATCTAAAGTATTTTGTCTGGAATGTATTTGTAGCACAGAGAGGGCACTCATTGTAAATGTAGGACTTCTGTTTATGATTCGAGGCGAGATCACTGGTATTCTATAATTCAATTTTTAATTGCAATTTGTAATTCAACAGGCACTACCGTCAAGCTTACAATTTGTTGACAGAAATCAAACTCACTGATGTTAATGTTCTTGAAGTGAAAGTTGTTGCYGGTTTCATAAACTACAAAGTGAGTTATTATATTTATGGTTCAGGTTTATTATCACAATGTTTGAGATTAAAATTGTGATTATTTCAGATTTGCAGGCTCAGCTTTCAAGCCTCTGCACCACTTGATGCCATTTCACAGTTCAGAAAACATGTTGACATGTGGAAGGAGAAGGCTGGTTGTCCTGAACTTGCATTTGAACATTCTGCATGGCTTTCAAAACAGTAAGGAAATGACACAGACTGTGTTAACGTTTAATTATTGCAGGAGAGTGAAGCATTTATAGGGTTAAGTTTTTTTTAATTTTTTTTTTTTTAATTTGTTGTAATTATTATAAATATCTCCCCATGACACAGTATCTGCAGCATTCATGGACTCCAGATTCCAAAATCCTTGATTCCAGATTCCATAATTTTGCAAGATTCTGGATTCCACCATATATTTAATTCAGAAATGACTGCAGGGCATCTGTTTTGAGCTATATATTAAGTAATGCCCCGAGTAAGAACTAGGGAAGCAAACGGCACAGGAATGCAAGAAGGTGCTAATTGCGCATTGTATAATCCATCCATCCCATTGGTTAAAACATGAAAATCTGCTATAATTTCACAAGTTAGTGAATTTTCTAATATGTTATTTAATGTCTGTTTTCGCTTTTCATGAAAGCTTTATTTAGCTTCAATATTAAGGCAATTCTATGTGGGGAACATTGCAAATTAGAAGCATCTTTTGGCTATTGTTTTGAGTGCTTATGATTGGATAAGAGCTTTTAATACAAAAGAAACTTTGTTTCAAAATAGAGTTTATCCACATTTTATTTCAAAAATGTGTTACCCACAGATGGATACATGATCAGTGTGAAAACCAAGACATTCGTACATGGGGAACTTGCTATGCCGCATCTGGAACAATAGATAGAGAGTTCCCTAGTTCTTTAGCGCATTGTTACTTAAATACCTTCCAAAGTCAATTAATTCGATATGAATAAACTTATAAAATCAAAGCTGGTTTCATACATGTATTGAGTCATTATGTTTATTGTTTTCATTAGATTTTCCTTGTTTGGTGATTTGTTTGATGAAGCAATTAGAAATGGACTCACTGCTCTTCAGGTACAGTAATGTTATTCTACTTTCCCTAAGATTGCAAATACCAACCAAACTTACTTGTAAATGTAATGACAAACCAGCTGACCATCAAATCAACCAAACACTCAAAACAATCAAGATGTGACAAGCCTGAAAATTATACTATCCAATCAGACCCACAGTTAACAAAACTAGTATAATATTTTAATCATAGGCTCGTTTAGCTAACATCCCAACCAAACAATTTTTATCAAACAATGTTGTAATTTCATGATTTACCATTAACCCATGTGATTGTTATTAATAATATTATTTATTGAAGACTCAACATCCAGGATTTTACTATCAACAAGCAGCCAATAATGCTATCGTAAGAAGGCAACTTTGTGAAGGTCTCTGCCATGTAAGTCCTTCTGACAGTTTATTGATAACGTTTTATTATTATGGACTGCTCTTTTTTATTGGGAGGGGRAACATGCAAAATTATGCTTGAAAAAGCTTGAAAATGTAGAGCTCTGTGCTAAAAGTGCATTGTAGTGTAGATAAGAAACAATATACATATTTCAATACAATTTGCAAGAATATGCATTACTAAGTTTTTCATTGTTTTCGTGTATTTGCACTCATTATAGAAGAATAATACAYTCTTGTTCTGAATTTTGATTTATTCTATAATTCCAGCCTAATACACCAYTATCCATGGATCCTTTAGAACAAGCTGGTAAACTTGAATTCTATGGGCAAAGACCTTGGAGGCAAGGGTTTCAAGGTAGATTTCATAGAGTATCATCTATTATACAATTTGGAGCAAAACCGCAATATTCAAGTCTATCACTGCTGTATTTTATTTAAGGTGAAAAACCTCTTGATGCCTCACTAGAACAAAATGGAATTATTGCTCTACAGACACAGGAACTGATGGTGGATCACTCAGTAAGAACCGTTACTTAGTCTACTTAAGTCAGTCATTGATTGTATTCTGGTGGTATGCCAGCAAAAACATGGACAATGTGGCTGTTCGTCATAATTCCTAAATTTGAAAAGCTTTGACAAGTTTATTTAGGACAAAAGACTATGTACACTTACATACGCCATATAAGCTGCAAATTATATATTTTTTATTCAGTAGTTAAATGAAATAACACCACAAAACCTAACACCAAGACACTTAGTAGTACTTGGATAGCTGTTTTGGCCTTTTTGGCCCCGTCAGCACATTTTGTTATGCCTACTGCATGTATGTAATGATAATTTAAAATGGAGATATTAAACGTCAAATAAAAATACTTGTTTTTTTGCAGTGGATTATCATCCCTCTTCTAAGCAGTGCAGTAGCTCAGTTCAAGAAATACAAATCTCCCAGAATGAAAAGATACCTAAGTATGTACATGTTGTATTGTGACCTATTTACTTAGACAGCAATTATTGTTTATGTGATTTAGACAGCAATTTGTCTGATTAACTGATTGACCTCAGACAACAATGTGATGTTCATGCCAAATATAGTAAAGAAAAGTGTGGAAAGATGTCTAAAGTTCTCAGTTTTGGTCAAAAAAATCATTCAATGAATCATAATTATARTATTATATTCTTATTTATATGATTGAACTGTTGCAGTGGTTCAGATGGGAGAAGAGTATTAYCACGCAAGAGACTACAGCAAGGCATTAATGTAAGGAAGAGCTACTGTTGTAACACTTATTTATTTTTTTCGGTCTAGTATCCTTAGGCTAGTTATTCGCGCGCTCTGATTGGCTAGCGTGTGGTCCGGTTTTTCGATCTGCCCTGTCCAACGGTATCCTGCAGATAGCCTGTGAGCAAAGTTGCATAAAATACAAATAAAAAATAAAAAAATTTATTTACCGGTTCTACAGGTTACTTGGGAGGGTGAYGTGGGATTTTAGACATGAAAGATGGTGGTCACTTCTGACTTCAGTACTGATAACATCTCTGAGGTTTGTGTATGTTTTTATAATGTAATAAATTTGTTTGAATAAAAATCTGTATTATCTCTTAAGTTGTTTATTGTAACTATATTGTGAATAGATTTTGGTGCTTTTCATCCAAAAATCGTGATCTCTTTTACGCTGTGTTAGCCTCAATTGTGTGCAAAATATTCAGAAATTTTGATAAAACTCATGAAATGTCATGGATCTCTTGCATTTGCACGGGCTGTTAGTGAATAAAATAATTTATCACATGGTTTTGAGACTAAGACAGCATAAAAGAGATTCAGCTAAAAGGGTTAATTAAAAGTTGATTATATTAATTTGCTTGCAGGTGTGCGTATCTAGTGGGAAATGTACAAGAGTATGTAACATTATCACTGGACTTGATGGGGCAATGTATCCTTAACATTTTAATTTTATACTAAAAATGTAGTCAATGGTGGGACAGTATATAATCTACACTGTAATTTGCAYATGAATTTGTATTAAAGAATCCTTGACTATTTTGTAAAAGATGCTTTAAATTCACCAGAGGAAAAAACTAGAGTTCAAATGAACCTCATCCATGTTATTTCGGTAAATATCTTATACAATACAAATTGAAGAAATTGATAACTTTGTACCAGTAATTATATACTTATTATAATGTACTCAGTTTGACCAATATTATATGAATACTAATTCATAGACGTTCTTTTTTTATCAAACAAGTGGCATCTGAATAGTTTGTTTAATAACAAACTTGTTTTGTTCAGAATGAATGTCCAGAACCTGAACCAGGTTGTGACCCAGATGCTGTTGAAGAAGCAAAAGAAATCTGGAAAACATTGACCCAGCAAACTGGCCAAGTAGTGACAGTACAGATGGATCAACTAGCTGCATTTGGTAGGKATATRTATCACTTGTAAAACCTAATTTTCCTTTTTTTAAAGCAAAACTATCTAGCTAACTTAAACTAACTTTAGTGGGCTTTTGTATACTACATGTAGCACCCTTCAGCATCATTTTTAACTCGGAGATTGCGTTAGMAATCGTAGAGTTATTGGGAGGGGACAAGCTGTCACTCGCTCGATCGCTCACTCACTCGCTCGCTCGATCACTTTCCTGTAAATTTGAGCCTGCGATGTTTTAGTCAGCAGTTATTCATTTAATCATATTAATATATTCTACTTACATGGTCTAAATGGTCTCCCTGTGCTTTTCGATTAATCATTAATATATTCACTAATTTGGTTACTATAGAAACTTCTATATTATGAAATTCATTTTAGACGGTCCGCCTGTGTTGTTTCAGCTGCGAAATAAATTTCATGTTCCCACTAGGTTTCGAACCCGCGACATTCTCTTTTCTTTTTCTCCTTTTTCTAATAATAACAAACATGTTTCTGCATAAAGTTTTGTTTTTAAGAAATTCTTTTAATTTTTTCGATCGGTAAAATAAGGTTCACCATGATGGGTTTCCTGTGTTATATGCTGTGGATTCAATCGATATTTGCCGAAAACAACTGACCCATCGCACTAACTTAAAAACCTGGATTCAAGAGGAGAAAAAATTGTAAAAATTATATTGTTTGACGTAGAATTGTACCGATTGCAATAAGTTTTGACTGGGTTTTCGCTTCGAGTACGTGTCAACATGGCGTCTCTGCTAAAAGTAGCTTTCACGGCCTTATAAATAAACTTCAAGCAAATGGACGGTTTCTATTCCGCTTTAGACTTCAAGGTAAGATAATAATGTACAAAGCTTAGCAATGACATACTTAAATCTTAAGTTTATCATATGAATTACAAATCAAACTTTTTAGGCTGTGTCAACCTGCCCGTGAGTATTCATTGTTTTCAAATAATTAGCTTACGTACCGAGACTAAATCATTAATTTCATCGCTAAACCCAACCCAAACCTTACCCTAAACCTAAGCTAGAGCTAACCAAGGACTTTTGTTCAGTAATTCTGTATTTTTTTTTTCGCAAACGGACATTTTGACTTCCACTATTTACACGGCAGCCGGGCATGTAAGTTGAGACAGACACTTTGAACTTTATGTCACCTTTGTTAATTTACATGTAACTTAAGCTGAAGCTTTTCCTTTTATAAATTTCGATGTCTCTCTGAACTAATAAGCTTATATTTTTATCAATCAACCTTAATCCGCTTAACAGTGATTGGAAGAAAAGCACTGGAATAATTCTGCAAAACTGCAAATCAAGAGCATAAAGAATAATCAAAAGAACAATGTTGTGGATTTCATACTTCAACAAAGGAGCTCAAAACAAAGTTATGATATACCAATTCACTTGTTCTTTCAATACATGAAGGCATTAGCTACTCAAATTTTTCACTAATTTTTCACTTATCTTGTTAGTTAATACTATTTTTTTAATCCAATTTAAATGTTGAATTGCATTTTTCCCAATATTGTTCTGATCTTATTGTTCTGATTTTTTATGATCACCTACTGTATTTACATGTTTTTGTAAATAACTTATCTAATGTGTTAATAAAATGCTCAAAATACAGCTGACCATCTTGCAAAAGCAGCTCTTACAATCTCCGAGTTATGTTGCCATTGGCAGCTTGTCAGTTTTTAGCATGTGTTTCATGATACGTTAAGACTATCTATTTCAAACTCAAAATGATTCCTTATAAATGACCTCTGGGTATACTACATGCATACATTTGTACAGCACAATAGAATTGACATTTGTGACCATAATTTTWAAAATTTGTTCTGTGAATGAAAGTCAGTCAGATGTAACYCACATTGTCRTTTTAATTATGAATCCTGACTTCAGTGTACAACTTTAAAGTTTTCTCAAGTTTATTTTCTTACTTCTCTCTCTCTACCACAGTTGAATGTAAAGCTGTTTTTGATTCACCGTCTGTCCATGCTGACAATGCTATACTGCTACATGTACATCTAAGGTAACAGAACTTTTTACAGTTTTGAGGAGGAAAAATGTGTAAACTTGAACACGTTTCTTAGACCATTGAAGTATCAAATAAAGCTGTAAACTAGTCATTTATTAGTTCAGTTGAATGTGATATTTCAGTTAACTTTCGGGGATTTTATATTATTTTTGGAATAAATTCTCTTTTAAGAAATCCTAAGTCCTCACTTTGTTTGGTTGCATTTAATGTAATTTCATTTCAAATCACATTTTTGTGTCTGCAGTCCTCACACATTGTAAGTCATAGAATCAAGTAATAATTGGTTTGTGAAAAAAAATACTTACATCCTATCTCCTTTTAGGGTGACATGTCCTTTTCCTATTCATTTCAACAAGCTGGCTGTATATTTTAGCAATCAGGTAAATTGTTRGCCTTCTCTGCAGGCTTTTTTCTTCTTTTTGTTTTTCTAYCCTGTGTGCTTCCATGAACCTTTGCGCGATCTTCTTACGAAAATTCACCATCTTTGATTTTGAACAAACCAGGAAGCAACTTTCAACAAGAGATTATTTATTAAAAAAAACATTGTAAAGGTCCTTGGATGCCTTTAATAGAATCCAAAACAATCAAGGCAAACGTCTTGTGCCGATGGCCCATCATAATTGATTTTTAGTTGTGTATTTTTAATGGCTACTGTATGCTAACAATGAAGTACTTTCTTGGTCTTTCTTGCAACTCTGTAGTATGTTTACTCCATTGTTTTTCAGGCGTACAACCAATATTGCTGCATTGATACGAATGGTGAAGGACATGAAGGAAGTGGAGGGCTGTACCTTTTACCAGCCAAAACTAAAGTSATCCCCTTTAAATTCTTTCCTCAACCGGAGGATGTTGGCAAAATATTACAGGTGCCGTTTTCATTCGATATAAAGTTAATATCAGAACTGAGAYGTCTGTTATAAAAGTAACTTACAGTTGAACCTTTATTAAGAGTTCACAATAGGGAAAGACCAGGTGATGGCTTAATAGAGGTTGACCGTTTAATGGAGGTCATGTTTGCAGAAAATATAAAAAGAATCGACTTTTGATAAAATGGTGTCTGACCACTTAATGGAGGGAGACCGCCAAATAGAAGGTCGTACAACATCTTGTTCAATATTCCACTGTTTATTAGTCCTTAGTGTCTCCAGTATTTTTTGAATATCAACATTTTGGTCATTTATTGCTACTTGAAAAGGGATCAGTTTGGACCTCGGAGTAATTCAAATAATCAACGAATAAATGACTGACATTAATGCCTACCAAAAACTCACCAGGGAAAAGGTTTTTCATCGCACAGGGTAGAAATTTTACCGCAAAAGATAAAAGGGTGCAGTACATGACTTTATTTACGGAAATATTTTTTGCTAAGAGTTTGTATTGGCTCATGTTGTATACTTTTGACAAGAACAAAAATTGACCGACAAACTACATGTATGTAAGAGTGTTCTTGCCAGTCTTACTCACAATTAACCTCGCAGGCAACACAGCTTGCCACACAGGAACACAGTACAAAGCGAACATTTTCACCAGCAATTATTCC